CTCACCGGTTTTTATCAAACTAATCCTTTTCCTTCATAAATGGCCGACAAAAAAAACGGATTGCTGAGCTGATACGAAGCTCGTATCGGCAAGAAGACTCGGAGCGTCTTCGGGCTCGTAGGGCAACACGAGAGACGAGGGGAGATGGGGGAACGAGGTAGCGGCAGTAGCCGCGCTGGAGGGAAGAGACGGGAAAGAGAGGGAGAGAGAGAAATAGGGTTTAGGGTTTGGAGAGTTTTTATTATTGCTTACGTAAATAGAGAGAATACATCTCTATTTATAGTGAAACCCCCAATACCTAAATCTACGTTTTCTACCCTGACGGTTCAAGAAAAGCGATGAGGTAAAGAACCGTAAACCTTCGAAGGAGCTTATAATTCGCTCACCTATGGAAAAATCTAAATTACAATAAATATTAAAAGTAAAAGAAATATTAAAAGTAAAAGTTTAATGCATCTCGAAATCCTTTTGCCATGCCGGGGCACGCCTAGCACGCGTACCCGTCCGTCTTGTTGCTTCCGTATCATGAGCTCAGCCACCGGATCCAAGTCTTGGTGTTTGTATACTTGGAGTACATCAAGTTTGTACCATGATTTGCACACCAGCCGTATAAGAGACATATATAGAATAAATATCTCTGCATACATCTGGTGTGCAAAAAGTGGTATTCCCATGGTGTATCCAATTTTTTATTAAACATATTTCTCATTTCTTACTCCCATTTTTATTGGGAATTAGATTATCTTTCTGAATCAATTGTCTCACACTCTTTGTGTTTTTCTATGTTTATAAGTTGGTCAAAATTACTTATAAATAAAAAATTAAGTCTTATCTATTTACTTTTAAGTGAAATGAATTTAAAAATTACTTTTGTTTTTATTTTTACACCAATTTTTAAGTGAAATGAATTTAAAAAATTATAAATTTTACTTCAGTTTGTGTAATGTGATTTTCTTTTTGGAACAGAGGGAATACATTTGTTCTCTAATTAAAAGACAACAAATCTCTTGATTTTAATTATTTATATTTGACCTGTACATCCATGCCAAAAGAAGTTTGAAGAAACTTAAATGAATTGGAAATACTTGAAGGAGTTGGAAACCTTGGAAGAATTGGAAAAACAAGAAAAAGTTATTAAGAAATCGAAAATGTTGGAAAAATGTTAGAAATTAAGGGTGCATTTGTTGGGGTGGAGTATGTTTTTCAAGAAGGAAATATTATCATAAGACCATGTTCTCTCCCACTTATTCTTATTACTTTTTCTTATTGGAATCAATTCAGATCATATAAGATAAGATTAGAAATAGCTTTAAATATAACTACATCCAAATTAGATTAGAACAGACCGTATCAAAACTTATTTCAATCATATGAATTGAAAATCATTCAGATCAGGTGAAGAGAACATTACTTTACACAAAAAATTAATCTTCCACCTCACCCAACATCTTTTACTACTTGGTAGGAATAAATTTTTTTTCCCCAAAAAGTATTTTCTATTTTTTTGTTAGGAAGGGTTTTTTAAATGATTACATTGTTGAATTTTTAGTTTTATTTAATCTATTGCAATGTACTATCAGTTTATTTGTACATTATTGATATCAGAATAAAAAATAAAGATGCTTTGAGATAGTTTTAAAATAATTTAGGAAGCACATCTTATTTATTTTTTATATACGATCGCTACCAAATTTTTATTATAGAGCTCATTTGTCTAAGGTTTGGGTGAGGCATGGGGGGACAGGTGAGGGAGTGAGTGTGGAGTGGAGGATGTTTTTTACTCTGTTCGTGAAATCAGAGCATTAGAAAAATTATTAGAAAAATGAACTTTCGTCCAATGCAAAGAAAAACCATTTTTCTCTATCTAGATAAATATTTTTTCCTCCGCTCTGCTAGATGTTCGGCCAGTGCTGATGGGCCCTGGGGATATATACATCCTTTACAAGGGAAAAAACATTTTTTTTCAAAAATAATTTCCTACTACATACGTAATCAAACGTAAGATATTATAATTGGAATCTTTTAGAAAAATATTTTTCTTCCAACCAACAGGCTCTAAGAATTACAAACAGTTAAGAACAAAGCCTTAGATAAATTACATAATAGAACAAAATTTTATATAACCTCGTGCGTCGCAAGGGGTAAAATGCTAGTCCCCAAAAAATGGCACACTTCAACCCACAAAATTTGTTTTTATTTTATACCAATTTTTAAACAAAACAAACTGAAAAAATTTAAAATTTCAATTCATTTTGCGTAATTTGATATTCTTTTTTGGACGGAGGGAATACATCTGTCATGTAATCAAAAGACAACAAATCCCTTGACTTCAATTTTTTATATTTGACCTGTAGAGCCATGCCAATCAGTCTTCAACAAGTCTTGTAAAAATATTTCAACCACTCACTTTTTATTTTTCAATAGTTTTCTTAAACTCTGTGTAAATAAAATGAGACAATAAAATTGAGACGGAGGGGTATACATTTTTTTAGTTATTCCAATACTTTAATATTACTTCTAGCCTATTTACTTTCATCCCAAAATAGTTGTCTCATTTTGTAAAACATGCAAAATAACAAGTATAAATTACATATTTAAAAATTATATCGAGAATTTTACTCTCTCCATTCCTTAAAAAGTTCTACATTTCTTTTTATGTTTATCGCAAAAAAGAGATATGATAGACTCACAAACAAAATGATACAAATTTCACAAATTTACTTCTTGTGGACGACTTTATTAAAATTAGTAGTCTCAAATAATTAGAAAATTAAATTTTGAATTTACAACTGACAAGTTTATGAAATTTGTGTCATTTATATTCGTGACTAGCATTTTTCCTCCAAAATATTTTTCGCTTTATGAAAAAATTTGTGGTTTTCTAATTTCTCTCCCTCCGCATCACTATAAACTACTCCCTCTGTCCACCATAGATCTTTTCAATCGCTCTTTTTCTTTGTCCACAATAGATCTTCTCATTTCATTTTTTAACAAGTAAAATACCACAACTACCTCCACTTACTTTATTTATTACACCTCACCCACCTCATTTAATACACTCCACCCATTTTTCATTAAGGGTATTATGGTAAACTTTCACCTTTTTTCAACTCTCCTTAAAAACCACCAAAAGTCAAAATGAGAACATCTTAGGCGGACGGAGGGAGTACATAGTTTCAATTTTCTTAATCACCGTATCATGTCAAGGTGAAACATTTTTGAAAACAAAGCAAGTATAAAAGAAGATGTGACAATAATAATAGAGTCTTGCTAAATCTACTCGCTACATTTGCACCATTGGTTACTAAGGTATATATGTACCCCTAAAAGTGTAAAAAGGAAAGTGGACATGTGCACTTAGCTTGAGGATATACTTGTCTAATTTTTATAATAGGGGTGGATTTAGTCAAATGTGGGGTGTATTTAATTTAGCAACATCTTACTATTTTATTTTTTCGAATAATCAATGAAAATATAAAAAATATATAAAAGTTATCGGATTGTCTAATAGTAATCGAATAAGTATTTAGGGACGCAAAGAGTGTTAAACGCTCATAACAAACTAATATATGACTATATTTGAAATTAAAGTAGAGTAAACTCTATAATTGATTATTTACGAGTATAATAAAGAGTTTTCTATGTTTGTACCTCTTTCCATTGGATAGCCCCTTTTCGGGTTCTGATATTGTTAAATTGAGAGCTAAAAATATAATTTTAAATGATCATATATCTTTCTTGTCATAGCAATGTCAGAGATCGCTGTTAATACATCGATTGTCAATTGGAGTCACTCTCTACTCCAACCATAATTTATAGATATCCGTAAAAATGGATTGTTCATAAAAATGTATCCATAATAGAAAGACCAAGAACAAAATATTTGATAACAAAAAATTAAATATGAAAAATTTTCTATTATAATATATAATATTATCATATCATTTTTTTAGGGCAAGGTTCCCATGACATT